GTTTTCCCTTCTTAATTCATATTAATGAGGATCTAAAAATCCTATCATTGATATGATAAAATCTGTTGTAGGGATATGGGCTGTTTTTGTATGTTCTGGAAAGAACTATTATCTCAATTCATTTGACTCAAGGGAATGGATAACTCAGTATTTTGTTTGGTTAAACAACAAGGATTATGAAAGACAATGTACTAGATGCAAAATTATGAGATCTCTGAGTAGATGCCAAGATTATCTACAGCTTCGTGGAACAAAAATAATCAAGTGTGGTCCCAAAGATTCATCATACTGTACAGTTACTAATGAGTACAGCTGAACAATTATGATTTCCTGTAGCTCTGCTTATTTTGATGGTAAATGATAAATAGCTTTTGGAAAAAAATGAGAAAGTAAGGCAAACATGATGGTGCTGTAACACTGGGTTGTGCATTTGTGTTATATGTTGCTGGGGACTGAACCCAAGACCTTGGTAAGGTTAAGCAAGTGATCTGCTACCAAGCTAGAATCTCAGCCCTTATCCAGTATTGACACTAACAATACTTTCAAAACTCTCCATTCACCATTGCCATGTTTAGCCTGGGTACAAGTATAAAATCAAGCATTTTATTTTTAAAATGTTTTTATGCATATTAGTATTTTATCTGTGTATATGTATCTGTACCACATCTGTGTCTGGTACCCATAGAGATCAGAAGAGGGTATCAGATCTTCTGCAACTGGAATTGTGGGTGGTTGTATACTAGCATGTGTTTTGTGGTGATGGGAACTGAACCTGGTTCCTCTGCAAGAGCAAAAAGTGCTCTTAACCACTAAGCCATGTCTTTAGCCCCACATTCTATTTTTTCAAGTTAAAAATCCAACCAAACCACAATCACAAACCAAAAAACAAAAACAAACAAACAAACAAAAACTAGAAGCCCTTAACATTTTCCTCCTTGGAATCTGAACTGGTCATCTCATTCATCTCATTCTATACCATATCCTGTCATTGGATGGATAGGAGACTTAAACTTATGGGTTATCTTCAACAGGAAAAATCCATTCCAAATTTTAGAATGCAGCCAATAGCAATCCAAAAGGACCCGTGTTTTCCTCTCTTAGGGGCATTACTTCATTTCCTTCTTCCCACCTCAGTCTGGAGAGAGCCTCTGTTTTGAGGGAATTGAGATATACATAGTCCATGTTGGCCAATGGCATAGCAAACTGTGCTGAGGGAGATGTGTCAACACTCACGATTTAATTCAGTGAGGAGTTAATTTTATGAACACCAGTGCTTTAAACAGCACTGTGTAGGACTGTGGAAAGTACATTCTCTAGGAAAATGAGAGTGGGAACTTCGCCACAAGAAACTGACATTATTTACAGGTGGAACTTTGTATTCAAGCAGTGTTACAGGCATTTGTATTTACCAACAAAGGTGAGACATGAACTTCGAAGTTATCTATAAACTTTGGGAGCAAATCAGACTGCTCTAACTTATTTGGCTTTGATTCTTTCCAGAATTACTCTGACAACAGTACTAGAAGGAAGTAGGAATTTATTACACCCACTGAAAACTTTTCATAATGCCTGTTGGCACCAGAAAGGAATAATTTTTAAGGAAATGAATGCTCAGTTACTTTGGAATGTAGAACTGTACTTGAGGGAAACATCATGTGGAATTACATTTTTCCCCTACTAAATTTTACTTTTGAAAGAACCTTGGGGGAATATAGATCTGGAAGTGGTGTCTGCTTCCACTCTTATAGTAGTCTAGAAAGGAACTGGTACTGGGAACTTAGTAACAACGAAGTAGCTAAGATACACACATATACTACTGCCCCTGTCCTCAGCAAAACATTGGGTCAAGAAAGTTAGGTGAACCAGCACTATATAAGGAACTAATTGCAAGGTCAAGACTGGACTGGCTTGGGGGTACATGTATTAGACCACCAAGTTCAATGCTTACTGGGTGATCTTGAGCATTTTGTGACTAACACTCAGTTTTGCCATTTACAAAATGGAAATAATGGTAGCATTTACATTGTGACGGGTACTTTGAGGAATAAATGAGATAATAACTACAAAACACTTAATGTCTGGATCATAGTAAATTCTCAGTAAGTGTCAGACATAATTTTTACTACTATGATTATTATTACATGTAATATAAGACATTTATTTGTTTATTTAAAATACTTTGAAACTAAAAGTAAATAATACATTAAGCATATTTAAATATGCCAGTTCAGTTGGTCAATATTAATAAGAAGTGTACTTTTAAAAGTGTGCACCCATGAAATACCACCAACATGGCTGCCTAAACATGCCTGAACAGGATGGCACCAATAGACATACTAACATGGATGAGTGGGGTAGAGGGCTCACAAGGTCTCAAAATGCTGGGGGAGGAAGAAATTCCCTTCTCTAGAAATGAACACACCAGTTGGTTTTCCAATACCAAACATTCAGTTCCAAAAACACATGTACAAATAACAGACTGAGTAGCTTATATTTACATATTTATGAACACAAACACACACACACACACACACACACACACACACACACACACACACAGGGAAGAATCTGGAAGGGTTTGGAGGAAAGAAAGAGAATGGAGAAATGATGTAATTATATTATAATCTCAAAAATTAAAAACATTGTGGTTTAAAAAGTATGATAATAAGGTTCATACTCCAATTTGCTCTGAAAAGCCGTTTTTCTGCTTGCTCTCTGCTACCACATTGATCAGCCTAGAAGTCATTAAGCTAAGTGAAATGAGCCAAACACAGACAGGCAATTACTGTAGTACAAAGTTAAAGTCCTGGAAGCAAAGATGGGAACAATGGTGAAAGGCCTGTGGGGTGGTGGAAAGGAGGAGAAGACTATCCAAAGGCACAAAGTCAGTAACCAAATGAACACATTTAGGGATATTTAATGGACACTATGGACAGTGTTAGATGTATTAACTAATTTGACTGTAGGAATTAATATCTGCTGCATATGTATATCAGACTGTTACATTTTGTCTTTTAAACATGTTCAATCTTTGACTGAATATGCCAAAATGTCTTGCTCAGAGGGGCATAATGGTATAATTAACTCGTGTTGACATGTATGCTAACAAAACTGGCTAAACACAAAACTCATTGCTACTGCTCCACACCAACTGAGGGTTTGTACATTTTATGCAGTAAATCCTTTGTCCTGAATTCTTAGTGAATGCTAAGGCTTTATTCTTAAGGCTGACAGTTTCTTCTCTAAACACAGATGGCACATGAAGGTTTGAGTGTGGGGAATTAGAACTGTTGCAATGCCCTGGAACACAGGCTCAGGTGCCAGGTACCCTGAAGATCTGCTCTTTACCCAGACACTTGCTGAATGAAGGTAAACAGTTCTCAGCATCTATCTTCAGTCATTCCATTTGTAAAATGTGTCATGGATAGTATAGAGTTTAGAAGATAGTGATAAGCATTAGATGAGCCAATCAGCATATAATAGTACAAATCCTGGCATCTGATAACTAATCAGTAAATGATGGTTATTATTTTTATGATGTTACTAATTTCATCAATTTTCTTCCTAGGCTATTGCAATAGTTTTCATTAATCCTCAGTCTCCTACATTTTACTCGGTATCATTTATAATTTGTATTACCCATAAAGCTGACTATAAGAGGAATAAATTGGGAGAGTATGAAGGGTCTGGACTAAAGCAACAATTATAAAACACTTTGAGTAGCATGATTTGATGGGTGAATTTAAAAGTATCATTTTCATAAATGGACAAAGGAATTGACTGTCTGTGAGTATTACTAGTTGATTGTGGGGGGTTTCAATTTCAGCTTATAGATTGAAGAAAAACAATGAACTTCCACAAATAATTAATTCTTGATTTGGCATTATATGATAATGGCTTCCAGACCACTAATGGAGTTCATTTACATACATTTGAGAGGCAAGAAGTTTTGTGTTTTTCTTTAAGGGGAAGTTGACTCTAGGAAATTCTTCTACATTTCTAGCTGTTCTCATTTTGAACTGGCCAGTTTTGAGACATGAATGTTGACCTTTAATTAAAAAAATTTGGCTTGGGTTAAATAAGACAATTTCAGGGCAATGTTTCTTAAGACAGTGCGTAGGATACTGTGTCCATCTAGGGCAGAAACTGTATGATGCTGCAGGCCCTGTAGTGTGAAACCATGAAGGTAGAAAATGCTTCAGGGTTGGGGCTCAAGGGCAAGTTCCTTATGACCTGAAGCAAAGACTTCTGTAAGTGAAGAAGTAAGTGTATCATGATTAACAACCATTTCTCATTATCGTTACTGATGCTGGAGAAAGAACAGTGGTGATGACCACATGGGTATTAGTGAAGACAGGCAGAGTGTGGTCACTAAGCATGCTAGTTTGTGTGTTTGATGCTCTTCTTTCTTCCCCTCTCTCTTCTGTTCTCCAAGCTTCCCCTTCCCTCCTCACCCCCTCACTGATATGTTCATTTACCCATTTATTCTGATTGCACAAAACGGGACAAACTTATTGGAAAGACATTTTATTTAATAAGATTCTTTATACTTTGTTTTTCATAACTTTTCTCTGATATAGTTATTATTTTAAAAAATCGACTTATTTTATGTATATTCCTGCATGTATGTCTGTATACTCTGCATGTACAATGATGGCTGAGTCTAGGAGAGGGTATTGGAACCCTTGGAACCAGAGTTACAGATGGTTTTGATGCCATTTTTCCTACCCTGACATAGTTATACTCCGTGATAGTTAAAATTTTGATGCTGTATTATCCCTCCAGGAAAATATAAAAAACAATATCTAAGTTATAATCAACATGTTGCAAAATAAATTATTTAGGATTGATATTCTGAGGTGTCACAGAATTAAGCTTTTGCTCAAAAGGAGAGTGACAATTTGTTATCAGATGGCACACATTTATGCTCAGAGGGCTTTCCCTATGACATTCCCAGCATTCGTCATGTTTGATGACAACTGGTGTCTATGCCTACTTACTGGATGGAGCTCTCGATGCGGGTGATAGTGAGGAAAGCAGCAAGGTTTGCTGTATATGAGGAGATGACAATCAGAGCAAATAACCACCATGCCCCCATCATCATTCGGGTTGCCAGAGTTGTGTATGGGACTTCCCCACCTGTGGAAAGAGGAGAGATGACAATCATGTCAACAAGCTTTTATTGAGAAACTGAAGTCCTACACATTCAGTGCCCAAACAGGCAACAAGCAGCATTTCCCTTAACATCAGTGGAGACCTCCATACTTCATTACTTTGTTTTTGATTAACTTTTATGGAATTATGTGGGACTTGGTCAAAAAGAAGCATGATGATTATTCCACATAATAGGTTGAAATGATAGTTTTTCCTCATTAGATCCTAAAATTAATTTCTTACTATAATCACAAATGTATCCTTTGTTTTCAAGGGCTTGATTATTTACTAGTTAGATGATATTAATATTGCTATACCTATATATAAAATATACCTACCTTCTTCATATTTTAAATGAAATAATAGATTATTTTTGTTAAATTCTCTAGGAGTATAGGTTGTTGAAAATCTTGGTATCACACATATTACCATTGACTTCAGTATCATTGTATGGGTTTCTTCCTGTCTGTATTTTAACTGGCCACTCATAGTATTCTTGGAAATCACTCTTCTCATCTTCTATACATTGGTATGTCCTTGGGTGAAGCCTTCGGAATGCTTACATTCCATCTACATTTTATGCTATTCAACCTTAGCAAGACTTTGAATATCATCTACATTTGGTGAAGAACCACTGTTTCCTCTGGTTATGAAATGATCATCAGTTTGCATAAAATGGATTGCTATGGCAGCCATGGCCAGCAGCCTTGAAAGTTTTCCTGGCTAGTTTTATGTCAACTTGACACAAGATAAATCATCAGAGAGAAAGGAGCCTCAGTTGAGAAAATGCCTCCATGAGATTGGGCTGTAGGCAAGCCTGTACAGCATTTTCTTAAGTAATGTCAATGAGAGAGGACCCAGCCCACTGTGAGTGGGGCCACCACTGGACTGGTAGTGCTGGATTCTATAAGAAAGCAGGCTGAGCAAGTCATGAAGAGAAAGCCAGTAAACTGCAACCCCCATTGTCTCTGCATCAGCTCCTGCATCCAGGTTCCTGCTCTGTTTGAGTTCCTGTCCTGGCTTCCTTCAGTGATCAGTGATAGACTACAGTGTGGAAGTGTAAGTCAAGTAAACCCTTTCTTCTCCAACTTGTCTTTCGGTCTTGGTGTTTCATCACAGCAATAGAAACCCTAATTAGGACAACACTGAAGTCAAAACTGATACAATGATAATAAGCCTATAGCAATGAAAATGAGACCGTTAATATGCCCTAGGTAGAAGTGGGGGATCATCAGGCCCCCGCTGAGATCCCACGCACTTTTTGCACAAGATCTTTGACAGTTATTAGAGAATATAGGAAGGGGAACATTGACTAGGGATGGAGAATCTTCAGTGATGCATCTTTTGGGAGTTGCCACTCTCTTTGAGGTGAGATTTTTCACCAACTTTTGAGTCACCTGTTGTTGGTTGTTTTTGCTTTTTGGGAGACCCGCCACCCAGCTCCCAAATAAATCACACGCAGAGGCTTATTCTTACTTATGAATGCCCAGCCTTAGCTTGGCTTAGTTTCTAGTCAGCTTTCCTTAACTTATTCCGTCTACCTTTTGGCTCTGGGCTTTTCCTGTTCTCTTACTTCTGTATATTACTTGTACTCCATGGCTTGCTGTGTATCTGGGTGGCTGGCTCCCGGAGTCCTCTTCCTTTTCTGGCTGCTCCTAGATCTTAAATCTTAGATCTATCTTCCCAGTTTCTCCTATATATACTCTCTGCTTGCTAGCCCTGTCTATCTTTTCTCTGCCTTGGTATTGGCCAATTCTTTATTAAAGCATTAGGTGTTTTACACAGGCACAGTAACACAGCTTCACAGAGTTAAACAAATGCAATATAAACAAAAGTAACACACCTTAAATAGTCACCCATACTATGATTCTGCAAATAATCCCTAACACATGCTCCTATAAGTAGATTCAACAAACTCATTGGTTCACTAAAATAGACTTGGATGAAATCCTTTCTTTTGTCTTTTGGTGCCCTATCTAGGGTGATTAACTATTTCTTTACTTCTCTCCAGGAAATACAACATCACACATAGATAACATTCAAACTTATATTCTGGTCCTTCTTTATGCAGAACTGTTGACAAAAGCCTATATGCCTTCCACCAAGAATCTAATGGGGATCTTAAATTTAACACATTTAAAACTTTTGTTGTAACATCCAAATTAGCTCCCCACCTAACTACATTATGCCAGGAACTGGAGCATTTCTATTATGACATTTCTTAGAACACCACCTTAAGGGTTTGGGGATTTAGCTCAGTGGTAAAGCACTTGGGTTCAGTCCTCATCCCTGAAATAAATAAAAAAAAAAGAACACCACCTTAAAAGTTTCATCTCTCAATATGTAACAAATCCTGCCACCTTTATCTTCAAATTTTATTCCAAAACTATTTTATCTTACCACTTCCAACATTGATATCCACATCTAAGCCAGCAGCTTTTGATTGTACAACCAAGCAGCCTCCATAAAACCTGTCTATATTCTATACCCTCTCAGTGCTCAGCCATGGACTCTAGGCAATGAAATAAGCTCATGATGTGCCCTGATCAAACCTCCCAGTAGCTTCTTATCACTCTGAGGAGAAGAAGCCATAATCCTTGTCAAAGCCTATCAGATGCTACATGGAAGAATCTTAATTTATTTATCTGACCTTATTTTGAATCATTCTCTAAATGACAAAACATGGAGAGTGTGTTTGAACAAATGCCACAGACGGAAGCAACCATAGAGTCAAAAGGCCTCTGGAGAAATGAAATCTGTTCACACCTTGATCTTGATCTTCTACCCTTCACACCTCTGAGTCTGTGTATTTTGTTATGATGGCCCTCTCAAATGAATACATGCAACTATTGAACATTAACAGACTTTATAATAAGAAATTAGATTTATATTCACAATGCAAATAAATTAGAGCAACAATATTCCTTCCTGCTTGCTCTATAATATGTGGGTATAGCTAATATAGTTAACAGAATTCAAATAATTTTTTTTTACTCTGACCACTAGTTCTTATAATATCTTTGAATTTTATAAAGTGTAAGTATGTCCTTGGGTTATTTTCTGAACTGTCAGTTCAGGCTAAATTTTTATATATGGAAAACATTTTTTCAAAAGCAGTTTTGATGCATTTTAGATATTTCTTGAAAACAGCAGACATTTTCACTCAGCTTTTAAAAGATCAAAGCTAAAGAACATTCAGTTTTAAATTCCCATGAGGAGTTTTTGAGCATAACAGTTAATTTGAAACTAATAGCAAAATGTGACAATGTCTAAAATATGTATTCAAAAAAGTAGAAAAATAATTGTATGACTGAAAAGGCTAATTATAGGTTGTTTCCACAAAGACTTTACCCTTGAGAGGACTTGTTTTCAACCACATAGAGGATCAAATTGCTGAGTTTCTTCTTTTGTGGTATATAATTTACAACTTTAGTAGCTCAAATATTCTTGTGGAACCCAAATACAATACCATTGTATCTGACACTTAGAAATAAGATAATAAAAATAATGGAAATCCTTGGGAGACAGAGGCAGGAGGATCTCTGATTTTGAGGCCAGCCTGGTCTACATAGTACATCCCAAGACAGCCAGAGTTATACAGAGAAACTCTGTCTTGAAAAACAAGACAAAAAAAACATGGAAATCTTGACGTCCTGTTTGGGTAATGCTGGACTAGATAGGTCATAATAACCTCAAAGTCTTAATTTCTTTTCTTGGTTCATAGTCCAAGGGTACAGTTCATCATGTTGGAAAGTCAAGGTAGTAGGAGATTGAAGGAGCTGATATCAATGTACTCACAATCAGGAAGCTGAGAGTGGTGAATGCAAACTGCTGCTCAGCTCATTTTCTCTACTTATTCAGGCTAGCATTTCAGCCAGGGAATGGGACAAACCACAGTAAGTCAGTCTTTCCACCTTATTAATGCAGTCTAGATAAGCCCATACAGACATGCTCAGAGTTCTGTCTTCCAGGTGATTATGTCACATTGACAATTAACACTAACCATCCAACTCTATCCATTGTCAACTTAACAACCCAAAATGTCACTTTTAAGTCATAACCTTCCACCATTGTCTTTAATTATTCTTAGAACAATTATTTAAATGTTCTAAGTTTCTTAACTGTGAGTGCCTATAGAATAAAAAACAAGGTACATATGCCCAACATAAAATGGCATAGAGTAAACATTTCTGGTTCAAAAGAGAAGAATCAGGGAATATCAATGAATGATTAGATAAAAGCAAGTCCAAAATCCACCAGAGAAAATATCAAATTTTGTCACTCCATGTCTGGCTTCTGGGACTTATGCTAAAATTGGCTGTGCTCAAAGGGCCTAAATAGCTCCAGCATGGTCACCTGCGACACACAAATCCTTCTACAGGCTGGCTGCATTCTGTGTCCACAGCTATCCTTGACGGTCATTCTATTATCCAAACATCTTCAATATCCTGAAGTTTCTTTTGCAACCTAAATTTCACTTCACAGTGTCATGTAATGGCCTGGCAGAGATTCTGACCCTGACACACATTGTTGGGCATCAGTTGCTCTCTGAAATTGCTGAACAAGACTTGAAGATATCCTCTATCTTGCATCTTTCATGTCTACAAAACCGGGAACATGATCCATATGGCATCTACCAGGAGTTCTGATATGGTGATATTTTATTTGTATGTTAATAAATAAAGCTGGCCTGGAGATCAGGGGGAAATGGTCAACCATTTTAACAAGAAGTCAGGCAGCACACACCCTTAATCCCTTAGCGGACAGGATCTCTGTGTGTTCACGGCCACACTAGGGAAGAGAGGCAAGCGTGGTGACACACGCCTTTAATCCCAGTACCAGACAGGAAGTAACACGCATTTGAAAGCTGCCGACTTGGTGAGGTAAGGTTGGCTGCTGGCTTTCCCTATTTACCCGATCTAAGGCTTTCACCTCTGTATTTGGCTCTGTGTTTTTTACTTAATAAGACCACTTAGAAATCCGTC